AACATACAGTGCAGTCTGGACATTAGCCAGTCATTCTATTATGCTGAATGCCTTTAGTTTTATGCAGATAGAAAAAACTGTATTTGCAAATTCATTGTCTCTGTCTACTTAGAATTACTGTTGATAGACAGAAATCCACTGTAGTGTTTATATCATGTGCAGCAGCTCACGGTGTCTTTATTGTAATAGTTCAGAAGAATTTCAACTATATCGTAAATTACTGCACATAAGCAGTAGTACATGCAGTAGCTAGTACTACTTCTCATGTTTGATAAAGTTTTTGCTTTCTGCTGTTGTACATGTCGTACCACAATTAAACTGTTCTGGGCTCTGAACACTTCCACACTGAACACTTGCAGCTCAGTGCTATATACAGAATATCTGATGCAGATTTGCTAATTTACTTTTGCAGTCAAGTTGTAAACTGTCTAGAAACTGAAAACTGAATTCAAAATCCTCTCAATGTTCTTTGCATTGTAGAAAACATCAAAAGAAAATCCACATCAAAGCAAGAAGATGTGTGGAGCTTGCATGTCCTCCCACGGTCCAAAGAAATGCTTGTTGGTGTTTCTAAACTGCCCATAGGTGTGCATGTGAGAGTGAATGGTTATCTGTCCCTCTGTGTTAGCCTTGGTGACATGTAGCTGTTCTACAAGTACACTACATTAATACACCATGACAAGCTTTAGCTGCTACAGCACCTTGTACTCAAACAGCTCAGTACTGTCCTTAAAGGATCAAGCATTGTTTTTGACTTAAGTCGTCTGTAGTTTTAAACCTTTATTTAGGTTCTGACCTGACATAAAACTTACATGTAGTTTGAAGCAGGCAGTATAATTTTGTCTGTTTTTATACGACGTACATGAAATAGGGGGATAGGGGTACATGTTGGTTTGATTAACTTTTTTTTTTCCAAGGAACATATTTGCCTTTCTCTCCATTTTTTAACACACTGTGTCATTAATGAAGGCTGTCAGAAAAATGATTTATGGCATCAGTTTTTTTATTTGCTATCGAGCGCTTCTTTTTGTTTCTAATCATGTTAGATTGCTTAGTAGATGGAATTCCATCGAAGACATTAATATATCATCAAACCTCAAATAACCATGTCCAGAGCCGCTAAAAAATGTTGTATAGCATACAAATTGCAATCTAGGTTCTGGTACTTCTCAAATCAAAATAAAAAAATCCTGACCTCATTTTAATTTGGCTGATCTCCTCTTCAAAGTCACCTTTTAGCACACCTCGAGACGGCAGCAGCTATTGTGGAAGCTCATTTTCTGTCCCCGTGGGCCCATGAAATGAGCACTGGAACAGTTCCAGTGCGGCAAAGTGGCCAATCTTCAATCTGAATTATATTTTGGAAAAGAGAAAAAAAAAAAATCACAGTAGTTAGTAGCAGTAGTGGGTAAGTCAGCTGGTAGGTGAACATTGTGTTGATGTGGCCAAAAAGTCCCTGATTTCAGTCTGCTATGTGCTATTATGTTACAGTAGTGGTACAGTTCTTTTGCATTGATAGTCTTTGGATGGTCTGTCCAGTTTTTTCTTCAAGGGAGAATCTGATGTATCTCATGATCATCCGAGACTGCTGTTTGATCTTTCGTGTATAGTTTGAACAGTAAAAATCATCAGCATCAAAGTCTGGTCGTTTTGACACAGAAGTTGATGCTTACTTTTCATATTAGTTCAAGTGGTCAGAACAGAACTTGATATAAAAGTGTGATGAAAAAGTGGACGCAGGAATGGATGTGGGAAACAAATGCAAGAGAAGTTGATCCTAAAGGGTAAATCAGAAAAATTATGCTTTATTTTTTGTATTCTCTTTTACTTTTAATAGCAAACAAGCAACATTATGATAGCACTTTATATAATGTATGATATAAATTGACTGATATATCTAAAATTAGTGGTTCTCCTTTAATATCTAACAATTTCACTGGCTGATTTATTCAAATTAATTCATCCTCTTGGCAAAAGTACTAAATATTCTACAGTTCCAGATGCTCAAGTGTGAGAATTTAATGCTTTTGTCTCCTTTACATAATTTGAAAATAAATAAATAAGAAGATCTCTGCGGTTTGTTCAGACAGAATAATTTGAAGAGCTGACTTTAGGCACTATTTTCTGACATTTTATAAACGCAAAAGAAAAAACCCCAACCCAAGACAACAATAAGTGCTGAAAATATTTTTTATCAATATGAAGCAACACCAAACAATGAGAAAACACAAAACCACATAAATACACGTACACACAGCAACCCACACCTCTCTCTCTCTCCCTCAGTCCTTTCTGTGCCAGTCAGTTCTGCACAGTTCTACTCTGTGGTCCTGACTGACAGGTAAGGCACACTATGTGAGCTGCACACTCTGCCCAGCTGACAACCTGTGTGTACCTGTGTCTGTGTGTGAGCAGACTGGCTAATAGCACACCATTCCTGTCATGAAGCCTGGAGAGTAGAGGCTGTAGGAGGCTCTGGCGGTCCAGCGCTGTGAGTTAAACCTCAGACTCCATGCGAGGAAAGACAGAGAGAGGGAATGAAATTAGTCCAGGAAAAAGGGAGGGAGGAGATTGAAAGTGATGGGGAGAAAAAAAAGAGGAGGATGGTGGAATGATGTGAAGAGAGAGACAAAAAGACAGAGATGGGCAGAGAGAGTCCAAAGGGATTTTCAGAGTGGAGATGGAGGGTGAGAGGCAGCTCAGAGGGAATGAAGGGAGGCTTGAAGGGATGAACATGAAAGGAAGGAGGGGCAATTGTTAGAAGAAAGGAGGGTGGCGAGAAGGAGAAGAGGCACAGCAGTCATCTCAGCTGTGTGCTTGAGAGAAAAGGAGGAGAGATAATAGATGTGATAGGAGAGCGAGAAGAGGAAGGGCTGGATTAATAATAATGTGACTGATTTAAATCATTAAAATCAGGCCACATAATGGCAAATAGGGTCTTAGGACAAAATTATTTAAACTCAAGGTCCTGCTTTTTCTGGCACTTTCTACCAACAGTTAAAGGGCAAAAATTTACTTTCATAGTCATTTCCATGACAACTGAACTCTAGCAATGACCACTGTGTTAAAAACTGGAAAGTTCACCCTTGATCTATTTCCAGGGTTAAGAAGGATTTTATGCACTACAGAAAGGTTTTATTGTATATTTTGGGGCGTACTTTCTACGATAAATTATATTGTCGTGCTTACTTGGTCAACTTTACTCAGTGAAGTCTAAGCAGAGTTTAGAGTAGAAATATTTTTGCTTATGGAGGGAAGTCGAACTGAACTGCAACTGCTGTTCCATACAAGCAAACATAATCTGTGGAGACCAAGGCACACAAGTCTTTCACATGATGAGTCGTGATGGAAAATCATTTACTTTCTTTCTGTCTGCACAGCAAGAAGGGAGGCGAGTACATGTCTTCTGGTCAATGACTATGAAAAGGCTTCATGATCACTATTTCAGAGATGTCAGCACACCATGCCAACCCTGGGTTAAGCTCAATAAAATCAGAAAGTCAGACTGTAGTTGAGAAAAAAATTTAAAAATGAAATGAGGATATTTTTTGGACTGATTTAAAAAAAACGATCATCCCGATAAGCACAACATATAGGGGTTAGCCTATACAAACAAACCAAGCCATACCACTGTGTCATCTCACAGGTTTTTAGGTCTCTTATGGTGTGGCATCTAATGAAACAGTATTTAGCAGGATGATGATCCTAAAAACAGAACAAAGGAACCAGAAGTGATTTAGATGTAGAAAGATGGCTAATTCTTGACTGATTGATCTCACCAGCCAATGTGCCCATTAGTTAGTTCAAGCATAGCCTTTAAACTTCCCATTACACACCTCATATACCAGCTATTACACAGTTGCTGTTGTCTCTGCAACCTACTTTGCAAGTCAAACATACCCAGCTCCTCCCTTTTACACCATTTCTGACCTAATCATCGTTTGCGTATAGTGCATGCTGTCATTAATACTTCCTGAGCTTCTGAAGAAAACAATCGTCTTTTAACTAAAGTGGTCCTAGCAAAACTGCTCATTGGAAGCAACTGTGATTAGTGATTAAAAAATGTCTTTATTTTAGAAAATGGCAGCCGAGTGATAAGTATGGTTAGACAAAGTTTTTGTACCGCTGGAATTATTTCAGTATGTATCTTACCCTATATTCGTCTAGATCAGGGGTCAGCAACCTTTAACACCCAAAGAGCCATTTGGACCCAGTTTCCATGGAAAAGAAAACGCTGGGAGCCGCAAATACTTTTTGACATCTAAAATGAAGATAACACTGTTTTGCTTTGTATAAACAACTAAAGTGTTTTGCTTATGAAATACATGAAGTGCTACAGAGAAAATATTTTTTTTTATGGAATGAACACATTTTGAACTAAACTGAAAATATAACAAAAAGGAAACAAAAACTGTAGCGAGCCGTCATCCTTATATCACCTTTGGGATTTTGCAGCCTGTAGCGGAGCCTTTAAAAAAATAATTGGAAAAAAGCACTATGCTGCTAAAAAATGAAAAATAAGTATTTGCAAAATATCTGCATAAACATTTATTTTACGTGGTTAATGTGTGTGGCAGGGCGTGGTCTGCAGTGCCGCTGCAGGGGAGGTGGACGCACCTGAGCGGCATCTGCAATCAAGCCTCGCCGGCTTAAATTCTGTGCTCGCTCTGCTGTTGTGTTGGTGTGTGTCGGGCTGTGAGCTGCAAAACTACAGCTGGCTGTGTGGCGACAGCAACCATGTGTGAAAAGTAGTCAATAAAGAAAAAAGCATGTTCATGCAAACATCGTCAGGTGGTATGTTGACAATGGGACTTCTGCTCCTGACCGTCTGCGCACAGCGCCTGCCTGCAGACCGGGGCTGTACGAAGTCACTAGTAAGCATGAGGCGTGAGCGGTGTTTGTTTTTACCACTTGGCCTGCCTGGGGTTGAAAGTCTCGATAAATGCACGGCATTTCGGCGGGTATGGTTTATGTGAGTGTGACGCTTGTTTTGAGCGATGAAAAATAATAACATAGTTTTATTTTTTATATTTCAAGATCACAATAATCTTGAGGTAAAAGGAACTAACACAAATAAAATACACTTCAGTTAAATACTTAGAATTTTTTTCCAAACCACGTGGAGCCGCAGTATAAGGACTAAAGAGCTGCAGGTTGCCGACCCCTGGTCTAGATGAATGATAAACATGGAGGATGGAGTGTGCATCACATTATAAACTTTGCCATATGCATGGTGTTACTCCTCATTTAAACTCTTGCTGCTGCTGCTGCTGCTGCTGCTCTCTTCTCAGACTGTCTACGCACAATATGACTAGCCTTTATGAATAAAACATCACTTTGTCCATGATGAAAAAATAGATGCTTTTTGCTGAGTACAATATTCGGTGCTATGCTGAGTCTGCACTTCTCCGACAGGCTCATTGGTTGCTTGGTATAAGAGGTAACAAGCCAGATCATTCACAGAGCTTGGTATTTCACTTATGTGAGCTATCCATTTGGCCAAGGCAGCACCTCTTGTGTACAGTTATGTTACTAGATGCTTCTCTAGAGACTTCCTGCCTCAGAGCAGGATTCTTGTGGCAGGCCAGAATTGTTAACGTTGCATTTATGAAGTCTGTTGATTAGATGTAGGTGATGTCTGAAGCTGCATTCCAGGAACTTAAGTGTTTGGATTTTTCCTTCTTTATAGAGCCCGAGCAGGATTTCAGGATATCAGTCCAGTAAAAGCAGCTTATAGAGTTGACACAGCATTCTGGGAGAATTTAAGCATTGAAATAACTCATGAATTATAGAATAAAAGCTTCCAGTTGTAAAAGATGCCAGCAGCATGGCTCTAAAGGATAGGCACTGGAAGTAAAGCTTGAAACCTTGATGTTCTATAGTTTTTCAGAAAACTAGATGGTGTTTTGTATCTTCTTCTGTCTTGTTCTTTTCTGTTTGGTCTTTCTGATATCATCTCTTGACTTGTGTAAAGAGGACTTGTACTGTTGTAGTTCTTCTGCTGACATGTATTCAGTACAGTGCAGGACACAGATTCAATAGGACCAGACACCAGTGGAAGATTACAAACAAGACACAGAAGCCACCTCAAGGCCTGCGTGACATACAAAATCCACAGTGTGGTACCGAAGAAAATATTTGCTATGAGAAAAATAATGAAATGCTGCCTCTGCTCTGGACAGCAGGAAGAAGGAAACATTGACTGCTTCTAACAGTTAAGATGGCAAAACTGAGAAATTTAATAAGTTTTAATCAGTTTTAATGAATTCAACAGCAACAAATACAGGCACAGAAAATGGCGACCTTAGAGTAGCAGAATATTTTATGGAAATGCTATCCAAGCCAATTCCTCCTATTCCATTTACCAATCATATTTTACTCATTTACTAAACCAAGTCAAAATCCCTCACGTACCGATGAACAAAGTAGCTTTGAGCAATGTTTGGGGCCAGATGCCTTGCTCAAAGGTAGCGATTCCAGCAGCAAATCCTTGTTTTAAAGCTCACAGTGCTCCAGTTTGACCATCAGTAATTTTCTGTTTCTCTTGCATTCACAGAAGCCAGCCAGCTCAACATCTATGGGGCCCCCATGAGGTGAGGAAACAGAGAATCACACAAATTAGAAATTAATCAGCAACCATGATGACCATGTTGCAGAAAATCTGAAACCTTCTCTCTGAATCTGAAGAAATCTGCTCTCAGAACAGGGATGGACAATGACAAGTGGAAATCTTAGCTATTTCAGTTTCTCACTGATCTGTCTACTCTCAATAGGAATGTGCGGAAGATGGCACTGAAACACTCTGATTCATCAAGCCCAGAGTCAGGCTTCAGGAGGTCCAACCCCAGCCCTAATATGAGGCAGAAGAGAGGTGAGAGCTCACTTGCCAAACTAACCAAAAAGTCAGCATCTCGTATTACTTCCAGAATTGAGTAAAATGAACTGTAGATGGGGAAAGATGTGTGAACCTTGAGATTTCAGATTGCAGTCTCCATGGAGTTATTGTAAAATGGAAGAACGGGCAAGGTTACAGCACATGGCCTCTCATGCTAACATGCTGTTCATGCACACATAGTCTCCTCTAAATCTCTGTGCTGTACTTCTGCATGTAGACTCTTAGCCAAAAACAACCTTTGCACACGCAGTTAGGTCAAAAGAAGCTGTATAGCCTCCTCACACAGAGATGCACGCACTAACACAAATACAACGCTGTCAACCGCAGTAGGGGATAAGATAACAGGTGCAATTTCAAATTGTACCTGTCTCCTGTGAGAAAGCCCTCTGTGCTGCTTTCTAGTGTGTATGGCTATCAGCAGTCTATCAGCAAGGGTTGTTGATCAAAGTTGTGTCTGTGTGTCTGTGTGCCAACACTAACTCAAGGTGACAGGAAGCATCCCCTATGGCCAATTCCAGGGATCCACCTGGTCTCTTAACACCCCTTTTTTCTGTCTTTCATCAGTTCTTCCATGTCTCACCCCTTTAGCCGTTCTATCTATTTATCTATCCCTTTCTTATCTGTAGCCTTTCTACAATGCCCTTTATATCACGCCTTATCTTGTCTTTTCAGTTTCCCTTTATTACTTTAATATCTAAAGTTTGCTGCATAACATCAATATATCAAATTATACTTTTAAATATCCAGCAAAGGTCCAGTAATTTTACAAGGCTGTGAAATATGCTGCTGAAAAGACTGTTGATCTGCATGCAGTCTAGCAGTAGCTATCCTTGTGATGGAAATCTGTTGCCAGCCACAACTGTCATGGTGTCCTGCGTTGTCCTTCATTCATTCTGTTTGTTTGACGCTATCTTACTCTACTGTCGTTTAAGACATACCACTCCTACCTGTCCTACCCTCCTGCCAGTATTGTCAGCTGAGTGCCTTTCTACTCACCTCTTTCCACTTCGCCAATCAGTTACCGTTGATTAGACACATCATTTGTCAGAGTGGTCTGCCAAAGTGTTGCACTATTCCTTAGTCTGCTTCTTAACCCTGGTAAATCCTGGAGTGTTGTAAGCTCCCTCTTCTTTGCTGCCTGGTATTCTATTGCTTGTGAAAAAAAACTTGAGTATTAACCTTGACTTTTTTTTTTTGGTCAACATGAAAAGGGCCATGTCTGTGTTTGAGCTCAGGACCTTCTTGCTCTAAAACAGCCGTGTCAACCATTGACCCACTGGGACTTTCTCATTATAATAGAGTGACATGGCAGTAAAAGAAGCCTGAATAGAAGTCTATATCCTTATGAGATGAGCCATTAATGGAGCCAAACCTTTGTGAACGTTGCATTTTAGTGGTTGAACTAGAAGTTACAGTGGAGAAAAGCTTATTAAACCTCATTATAGGGTAAAGTCATTACGTTTTTGAAGCTCTTTCTATCAGATCTGATTGAAGGTTCTGGCTCTCTATTCATTCAGATAGAGACTTTAAACTAAAACAAAATGCATTTTTACCTCGAGGCATTGCCGAGTTGGCTCCTAAAAGCCAAATCTTGCTTCTACAAAGACTTTTGTCATGCATTGACGTTACGGTCTGGCTTGTCTGGACCTAGGCAACACATTTGTGCAAGGAAGGTGCTGCTCACTGAAGTGCATGTGTTTCAAATCCGTAAGCCGCGATTTTCCAGATACCGAGAGCACCTCTGGATCCTCCCTTCAGCTCCAGAGAATTTTTTTGGGGGGTGAGTCGAGAGTGTGCCAGCCGTTCCTGTGTTTCCTGGCATTTAGCCGAGCTGAGTGGGAGAGGCATTCTCCATTCTTCAGCTTTTGAAATGATCTAGTGTTATTTAATCTGACATTGCTGACATTTTAGTGTTAAAACCCTCTAGAGACTGTTTTTGGAAAGCAATGCTTCTGGATATAAGAAAATCAGAGTGATTCTGACAAGGCCTCAAATAGACAGAATAATTCAAATTTAGCTGGTAGTGTCGACATACTCCTTGGAGTGAGTGGGGGCCGATGTCGAAAGCATCTCCTAAGTCCTAAAACACCACTGAAGGTGTGGTTTGCCCTACAGCATTTGTTCAAAGGTAGGTTTCAGTAACTTAGTAAGTGTTTACTGTTTCTGCTTTCTTTTTATGGATTTTCTCCACCATGCCATGCTCTCACACTGAATTTTCTTTACGACTCGCACAGTCCCAAATGCTAGCAGGAAGTTAAAGGTTAGGGAATGCTGACAGTGGCTGCTGCTTTGGGTATCGCCCTTCAAATGCGTGGCTGGCCTCTATTATAAAACCAACCTGTCTGTCTCCTGGCATCCATTGTCACCTCCTGCTCTATTCTCTCTTTCCCCTACTCCTTTATGTTTCTGTCTTGTGCTGTTTATTCCTTCTTCTGTCAGCTTCCAGCCATTTACTTTTCATCAGTCATCTCTCTTTAATTCACTCTGTGCATCCCTTTTACTTCTCCTTAGTTCTCACATTCCTTCTCGTCTTTGATTCTTACTCAGTTTTCCGTCCTGGATTCCTTCTAATCCCATTTTCATAACATCTATTTCTTGTTGATAATGCTTTGCATTGAACTGTTATCTGAGTGTAGTTTTATGCTATGAAGTTTTCCTAGACAGACTGAGCAAACAGAAACACTTTGCAGTGACATCTCAGTGCTGATGAACTGCTTTTCACTAATGATTACCCAGAAATCACAGCAGTGATGTACCGTGTGTCACGGTACTTTATCGTCACCAGCTGTTATGTAGTGTGGACCAGAATGTTGCTAAAAAAATTCCAACAAAAATGAAAAAACCTACATTTAGCTGCTCACAAGGAGTACCAAAAGGTTCAGTTCGATTCAGTTCTATTTATACAGCGCCAAATCCCAACAACAATCGCCTCAAGGTGCTTTATATTATAAGGTAGATCCTACAATAATACAGAGAAAAACCCAACAATCATATGACCCCCTGTGAGCAAGCACTTTGGCAACAGTGGGAAGGAAAAACTCCCTTTTAACAGGAAGAAACCTCTGGCAGAACCAGGCTCAGGGAGGGGCGGCCGTCAGCCGCAACTGGTTGGGGTGAGAGAAGGGTAGTGTTTTCAGATGCCCCATCTGACACAACCCTCAAGGGATTTGTGTTCAAACTAGAGATGTTTTACTTGTTAGGTAAATGTGTAAACTACTGCACCATGGAGCCAAAAAAAATAGGGTTTTAAATCTCATGGCTTCTCTCTAGCTCATATTTCTGCTAGTACAGCAAAACATGTTCTATGGTTTTATCTTCTCCACAGTAATCCCCAGTGTGGTGTTTTCTTAGTGCCATTAAAAATTGCATGTATAGGCAAACAGTGATTATGTGAAATGTGGTGTTGGCTGGGCATTCTTATCCCACACAGTAATTAATAGTGGGCTTGCTACATGCACTGGTTCTTATATAGTGCTTTTCTACTCTTAACTGAGCGCTCAAAGCGCTTTTATACAACTTGCCTCACCCATTCATACAAGCACTTTTTTTCTATGCTTTTCCTATGTAAGTTCTTTCTATCTAACATTCACTCTGATGGATGCATTGGAGAGCAACTTGGGGTTAGTATCTTGCTCCATGATATGTGGAATGCAGACTGGAGCTGACTGAGATACCAACTACCAACCTTCCAATTTGTAGGTGACCTGCTCTACCTCCTGTTGCTTATTGAAAACCCATATAAGGGTACAGCTCACTACCCTACATAATAATAATGATAATAATAATAATAATAATAATAATGCATACAGTGACAATTAGAAAACCTTTACAGAATTAAAAGTCAAAAATACAAAATAAAACTGAATGTACAATCTTAAAAAGGTGTGTTTTAAGAAATGGTTTAAAGATAGAAACAAAGAATACTGTGAATGCAGAGTGGGAGAGAGATCCAAAGAAAGGAGGCTGAGAGCTCTGAGGTCCGTGATAGTCGGACGAGCACTTAGTACTTTATCATGCAGACTTGCTTGAGCAGTTAATCAGGCTGACAGGCTCATTGTGAAGGTGCAGGAATATATACACTTGTTTTAAACTAAATACAGTATAAAATATTTGATTGCAATATTTATCATGTATTAGCACCTCTTTTGTTTGAGTGACAGCATGGACTCTGCAAAATCTGACAACCAATCTCGAGTCTCTGTCTTAGATTTATCAGTAAATCCTTTTTCTTTTTTTAGCAGGACTTTTGCTGATTGCCGACCTGTTTTATTTATCATGTTTATTCTGTATTTAAGATGAAGTAGCTTTTCTGGTCTTCTGTAAACAAAGCTTGATGTATTGATCTTTTGATGGTGTGAGCCACGCACTGCTCCCTTAGAAATCCTCAGTGTATCCATACTTTGACGTTGAGAAAGCCAGCCTTTGCTCAGAATAACAATGTGACTACTGACAGTTTCACTTAGTTCTGATGCCATGTTTCCCATGCTTAGAGTGCTACTTGGTAAGCAATGTTCCACTAGAAGCATGAGGCACATACATCTTTCTAAAAGGTGAATATAGGGTTTTATGTGTACAAGCCCCTGATGGGTTGTTTAAATCGATGGATCATCTGAGCAATGCTTCATTGAAAAAAAAAAAACAACATACAAAAATATGACATTTTTTACAAAGCATACACTGTAGATAAAAGATGTAATTAACTGTTGCAGCGAGCACTTTTAGACCCACAGAACCAGAGGCTTCAATTTTATACAGTGCATAGTCTATGTACAAAGGAGTGAACATGGTCAATGACTTCTAGTCTGCTTCAGTTTAGCTGCTGACCTAGAAGCAGTGGAGAAACTGAAATATTCTTTCATTTTACAGGGTAAAAATTATTGTGTGGTTATTATAAATATTTCAAGACCTCTTGCATTTACATGAAAATATGTCAGATTTTGATGGGGTCTCAATCCTTTTTTTTGCTAAAACTCTTTCACATTCCTTAAAAAATTGTCAATTATTGAGTTTCTCTGGACTGATGGCTGTGGTTAGGGAACTTTAGCCATAGTTATTATCTGAGGAAAGTGGCTCAATGTGTTATGTGTTTTCCAAAAAAAAAAATCCTCTATGAGGGGAAAATTGAACAGATGTGAAGTGAAGATTTTCACCAAAATCTCCATTTTTGTAAGTCTATGTTTTCATTGTTATTGTCATTAATCTTGTAGTATTATCTTCTCTTCTTCAGACATAGATGATCCATTCAAGGTTTAAGATGGAAGAATTAAGTCCCTCTTTCACTTAGCTTCCTTTGGCCAGTTGTACCGTTTAACTTCAATGTTTAATATGACATAATTTCATATTTCAACAACACAAAATACAGATAATAACAAATAGTAATAATCTATAGTAGATTCCTAAATATCAGTCTTAGGAAACAATCTGCTTTTCTGCTTTCCATCATCTGCACAGTAGCTGGAAGAAGGGAACTATTAGATTTGACTGCTTCACATGATCGAAAGCATCTTGGACAGAATGATGATTTTACACTTTGACAGCAAATGATAAAAAAGTTATCTGAAAGTCGAACCGTGAGTGGGTCAGAATAATGAATGAAAGTTGCAGCGTATGTGAGAAAAATCCTTAAATATCTTGCACGCTTTGCATGGAAGATTGCATAAAATTATCTGCATGCCAGTGTCACAAAGTGATGGACAATTATGCCAAATTCTTTCAAGAAGTTAATTCTGGTAAACGAGCCACTATTGACTCCGCGTCCAAGCATACAGTACATTAATTTTAATCTGTTGATATTATTGTTGAATAAACAGTTGAAAAAGTGTTGGCAAATATGTCTTGTGGTGTAGTTCAAGTTTACCACATGTGAGAGGAAAACTGTCTTTTAAGTATTTCATTTTCTAAGGTATAAGTTTGACGTAATGAAACGTTGACTTATGGGGAAAAGGTATGTGTCTCCATATGGTACAGTATACTTGCTTCATAAACAACCTGCAAGTGTTTAGTAAGTCTGCAATTCAAGTCAAGTCAAAAATTACTATTAGAGCACTTTGACAGCCATATAAACCCTTTGCATCACTTTATTCTTTTCAAGCAACGTTCAAACTGCTTCTTCTTTCTCTAATGTACTAACTTCTGCTTAATCTCGCTTTGCTACGTAGCTGACGCTTCAGCCAGCCAGTCAGGCTACTCGGCTGTTAATGCTAGGAAGCATTTCACCTTGCAAGGACTTTCCAACAGGAGGTCTCTTCCAGCAGGTAACAGCAATATGCCGAGTGCTCGCTAAATCCACCTGTATCGTCATCTTTATCATCATCACTGGCATCTTTGTCAACATTATCATCTGTTGTTTGCTCTTTTTATCTATAATTGCTGTCAAGATAATGTTGATCATAATGATAATTGTCATCATCATGAACGGCAGCAGCATCTGCCCTTTGTAGTTAAGTCTTTTCGCTCCGGTGCATGCCACTTAGTTCTTGCACGGATTTCTCTACGTGCATTGCAGTGTCTGCCATATCTCACATAATAAGACCGCATCTCCATCCACTCCCCTGTCTGTGCTTTTATCTGTTCACGTCTGTATCATCTGCCTCTGCTTGCACTGCAACAACTGTGATTTAGAAAAGAATGGGATGGAGTTCTGTCGGAGAGTCATGATTTGACAGCAGGTGATGGACAGATGAAGACAAAGAGTAGCTGGGCAGAAATATATGGTGAAGCATTACACGGCATTTCACCTTACAATACCAAAGTCCTCTTGACATTGTAAAATGTTTAAACATATCTGAAGGAAGAAGAGACTTGTTTTTGTTTCACAGCAGTACGACCACACGGGTACGCTGATGACACAGTTGGAGGAATGAGAGAGCAGTTTTTAAAGACACTCATCTCCAGTCACGTTTAAGTCACTAGACGGCAGACACGTCGAATGATACCTTTCTTTAAAATTAGTGAAAGCTATCCCACTGTTGTGTTGCAGTGATGTTGCATCAGGTAAAACAAAACAAAACAAAAAAAAAATCATATTTATTTCATTAGTGATCACTAACAGGGAATCCTTGTACTTTAGACTTTTGTATCAGTCCAATTTAATTTTTATTGGCATGTCTAAACTTAGATTCTGAAAGTAAAATCTTAGTAAACTCTCAAAACAATCATTTTTCTTTCTTTCTCAGTTGCATTTTATGGTCTTTCCTAGAGAATGTATAGATAATTGGTTATTAAGATGGCAGTGCTAAGGACCGTGAAGGCTGCTTTCTCTTTGTCTTTGATTTGCATTCTATTTAATGACCAAAGTCGCTGTCCATCCTCCTCTTCCTTGTCATTTCGCCTCTTTTTAAATCCCGTTACTAAAGCTTTCTCTCCCCGTGCTTTTTCCTTTCTTCTTTTCCTCCTGACCCCTTTCCGGCTTTAGAACCTGCTGCTAAAGAGGCTGAGGTCCCCCGCCGCTTCTCTCTCACTTCTTCTCTCGCTTCCTCTTCCTCCTCCTCCTTCGCTACACGGCGCACAAAAGGTACCAGCCTTTGTAGTTCCTTCCTGCTCTTTACAGCCTTTTTCTTATTTTGATCACATTGGCTGTGTTGTTACTGATGTGCATCTCAATAGGTTGAATTCTAATTATTACAGCGAGTAGCTGTGAAGTGTCAAACAAAAAGGATGCATTGCTATATCGTACATATTTTAAAGTGAAAAGAAATTACATGTTTTGTGGGCTGGATCAAAAAGGAAGAATTGAACATTTTGCATTTTTAATATCATTACAATGGCGGTTGTTTGTTTTCTTTATTGCCAGATTTTGATTTGATTTGATTTTTTTGGTCCACCGTACCAAACCTATTCTCCAAAATACAGATGCAGGGAGAGGTTTGGAGAACTGAATGTTTTCACAGATTTCAGCAGAGATTTTCTCTCCACACTTCTTTTCCTCCAACCAGTCGAGGCAGATGGGCACCCTGTCTGAGTGTGACTCTGATGGAGGTTTTCTTCCTGATAAAAGTCAGTGGTTTTTCAGCCCTCTTGCCAAGAGCTGCCCAAGAGGAATTGTAAGAAAGAGCCAGGGTCCACTTTTCTGTACAATGAGAATTCAAGTGAATCAAAACCGTGACAAATTTGTTTCGTGTCGAGGTTATTTTAATGTTTTTCATTGTATTTTAAACAGATGACTAGGTTATAGTGCATTGCCACACACCTGCCAATTTGTTTTGGGGTTTTGTTTACTCAGCTAAAATAGGAAATATAATTAAAGATGTGTTTTAAACATTAACCCATAATTTCACCTATGGAGAAAGGTGGGATAGAGCTTACCTCTCATTATATCTGAGAGAGCCTAAACATCCAGTCTTTTGTGTGATTTACAGAGTGCTAAACTGAGTTTCTTTGCGTGTCTTTGCTAACAGTAAATCATTTCTAATACAGAGCAACATATGAGTTTGATCAGTACGTGTATATGTATCACTCCTGTAAGCTTACAGTGATTCTGGCCTACAGCAACATACAGACCTGAATCTACAACTCACTTTAGATTTCTTGCTCACGTTTCTCTGTTAGCTACAAGCATGGATACATTATGCGCATTAGCTTGCCAAATTAGCTTTCATATGCACATCCCCTGGGAGACAAATGCACTCCTAGTATCAGTTTGCTGGCTAAATAGCAAATTAGCTGGTCAGCAACTTCACCATATTCTCATCTCTTGAGATTTGCAGCGTGTCTGATAGAGAATTGCTAAAAACACAATGAGAGAAAGAAGAGATGGACGAGAGGTGGGCAGGCATTCAGTACAGATACTTTTTTTAAGCAACTGTAATGAAATAAGAATTTTGATAAGGTGACATTTGGAACGCAGGGTGACATTAAAAGTGGCAATAGAAGTGCAATTTCTCTTACGAATACAGATGAGACACTGATTTTCAAGGAGGCAGAGGCAGGAAAAGAATTCAAATTGAACTTTAAAAAAAAACTATTTCCATCCAGTCTCACTGTCCTCTTTTTATTGCATTTCTTTTATTATCCCTCATGCAGCTGAGACTGACCGATCAGAGCACTGCAGGCCACAGTGCTCAGCGGAGGTCTGAGCGTGGCTGTTGCTTTTCGGCCTGTATTTTTAATTCTAATCCACACTGTGTGCTAAGCAAGGAACAATATCACTCTATATTGCTTGATATTGTTGAAACAGATATGAAAATTTGTAGCACTACCATGTAATTTTAATTGCATACAGCTTTATATTTAAAACTGAGAAATGTGAATTATATGTAATTGAACATATGGGCTGTATTTTGTTCATCACTCCCTCATAGCACCTGAAACATTTCCGTAAGATAGACGTGTGATTTCCATGGAATACAAGCAGGAGAACAGGTGTAAAAATGGAAATGAATGAAGACTGAATTCCATTTAGAGACATTATTTTTACGGCTCTGCACTGTTACGTCTTCACTGGACAGACCAGTGCTATCATTAATGTAGTTCATAACACTTGTGCTTTTTTCTGGTGTGATAAATATCTGACATGGAAGCAAAAAAATAAATAAATAAATAAATGTGGTGTTGAGGCAGTGTTTTTACACAGATGTTAGTATTACCATGCTGTGTTTCAACATCATGTCTTTATGTTTTGCTTCTAAGGAGCCAGGTTTTATTTTTATTTTTTAGAAGTTGTCTTATAATCGTTCTTCGGCCCTTCTTAAGGTCCCTCAAAGTTTCTTTGGATGGTTTTTCAGTCATTTTCAGTCCCTGTCTCTGACTGGTGTCAGAGGAATATTTTGGGGCTTTTTAAAGCTGCTTAACACTGACATATGAATCATTCAAGAATAAAAAAAGACACCCAGTTGAAGGGATGAGCCAGCGTTGTGTCTATGCATAACACACAACTTAGCAAAGAAGCAACTTTAAATTGTATCTTTGGGCATTTTCTTACAAGCAGCCTTTCACAAAAACACATCATTTGTTCCCATTTCTTAATTTGAATCTATGAAAAATGCAAAAGATAACACAGTGTGACAGGCATGAAATAGTATTTCAACAGCTTGATTCCCAAAGAGATATTAGCCAAACATGTGGCGTATGTGGGCTTCCTGTGCAGAGAGTCCTCAACACACTTGAGGAAACAGGAAGTAGAGAAGATAAAGTGAAAAACCTAATAAGGTATTTAAGTCATGTCATTAAGAAATAGGAGGTAAACATCTGGCCGTTCAGTTGATACATCGAATGTTCAAAGAACTGTCAGTAGAAATAGTCTCAGTAGAAGGGTGGATGTGAAGAAGCCATTTTTTAGGAAGGGAGACAGGGGAAAAAGGCAGAAGTACGCCAAAATTTTACAAAAATTTAACTAAAAATCGGAGGTAATAGGTCTGATGGAGGGATTCATTCAATTTTCAAATATAAGCTGTCGATATGTTTATCAAAGATCAGAAGAGAGGTGGTTTGGAGCTACATTTCAGCCACTGGTCTTGGGGATTTTGTCAAAATTAATTAAATTATGAATGTGTAAAAGTACTGTCAGATTTTGATCCACTGTGTAACCGCCTGGAAGTTGTGTGATTATTTTTTTAGCATCACAATGATCCCTAAAACACTGACAGTGTAGTAGAAGAAATGTCTGGAACATGCAGTAGAACACGATCAGTCGTGGTCTATGACTCCCCAGAACTCTAACTCAACATTGTTGAAGCAACATTGTCATTCAAGTCAAGTCAGTTTATCTATAAGCACATTTAAAAACAACACACGTTGACCAAAGCGCTGTACAAACTGGAAAAACAATTGTTGGATTATATTGACAGAGAATGGAACAAAACAGTCAACAGGAGAAGAAAGCTTGCTTAAGAGACTTCAGAGAGAGAGTTCTTGCACAGTACTGTATCAGTAACTACTTGATATAGTTTTTATCTAAAAAAGTTGTAGAACTCTTAATCATTAAGTCCAAGTCACATAAAGTATGTATTGTATGATTGATTGTGTCTATTACTGGTAAAAACTAGGGATAGGCATACACGTCAGGGGGATTCAAAGCCAGCTTACTCCCTGCAGTGCACAAATTATCACCAGTGGGTAGAAGACATGTTTCCATCTGCATACATTATGGTTGCAGAAAGTCACGTATCAAATATGATACCAGGCACATTATAATATTACATGTGGAGCTTTATAGTACGTCAATCAAAACACATTTTCAGTTTTGATTTTGTATGTGCAGATTTGTTTTTCAATGAATCAATAATTATAGATGTTTTGTGGTCAAAGGTCAAATATTTCTCACAAAAGATGAAAAAAACAATTCAAACATAAAAATAATGTTTGCATTAAAGATTCAGCAAATACTTTAGTTACAACATATGAGAGATTACATAAGAGTCAGAAGCTACTGGTAACCATGTACCCTGCATTCTCAGGCTGTATGAAGCAGCTGCAGCATCAGTTCTATATTCTGTCTAATTATGCTGATGGTCATGAATTAAACCCTGAAGAAAAGCATCCATTTCATTCATTCTCCAGCAAAAATAAATTTAAAAAAAATAGCTGGACAGATGGAAAAATAATTTTTTTGTCAACTAATTGCTCTCATCTTTAGAAACTCTGTATCCAGGTGCTTATTACTGCATGGAAAATATGACTCTTTTAAAAAAAAAATTAAAGTCATAATGGTCTTAAGACAATTCAGCCCACTTAAGGCCTATGTCTAAATGACAAAATGCTTTTTAACAGAAAATAATATTACAGCTTTCTAATGTCTAAAAGGGACTTTAAAAGGTTGATGAAAGGTGATTTGGGATAATGCAACCGTCTTTCTAATATGCTGGTTTCTCATTAATTCTCTTGTTGCATGTTATTTCCTCTGCCCAGGTCCCCTCTCTGCTAGCATAAAGAGCAAAAGGCATGAAATAAAGAGTGATCCCACTCCATTTGGTTATGAAGGTACAAGGAGAAAGATGTTATTTCTTGATCGACTGTGCTTCTTTATTTCTGGATGATGTGTTTCACCTTTTGTAGTTCAATTTCGTGCGTGCTTTGGTGACTTGTAGGTGGTTTGTGATGTTCTGTTTCTCAGTGCATGAGCATCAAATGAAATTGGTATCATTTGTGTGTGTGTGTGTGTGTGTGTGTGTGTGTGTGTGTGTGTGTGTAGCTTTTGTGTGTTTTGATCACAGATTTTCCCTGGTAGGTGTTTGGTGTTTTCTGTTGCTTGTTTATTTTTTCTCTCTCATTGATTCTGCATGGATACAGTTGCATGGTTTTCTTATTAGACAGCACATTGACTGGATGTAATTGTGCAACTTTTAGAAATTGTGCTTTTTAAATACAGGTTTTGGGTTTTTGTGGTGCAGTTTAACGGTTGTGATGACAAAATTGGTATAAAGCAGTTGGCTTCCCTCCAGATACATTGCGCGGCGCTATGGCAGCAGTCAGGAAACGTCAGAGTATGACTAGCAGCACTTCTGCTGGTCCTGGTGGCACCTCAGCTGTCCCTAGATCCACTTCCCAACCAGGTAACTACAGGGGAGGATTCATCTCCTCCAGTCACTTGAGAGACTATCATCCTGTGGAGTTGATTTCAGTTTTATGTGAAAGTATATTTAGTTTTTTGTTTTGTTTTTTAGTTGTCCTCCTTTTGCATCACATTGACTTTCTTCTTTAAAAACATAAACAGAGGCTACGTCTGTCAAATGGCTTCAAACTACTGACCAGTTCAAGTGTCCTTTCTTTGAGAGTTTTTAATCTACTCCCTTGTTAAATAAAGCTTAAACAAATTTAAGAAAGAAAATTCAAATGTCAACTGGTTTGAGGGAAGTGGTAAAAACCTTTCATAAACCCATCAGAGGAACATTTTTACGATGTTAATAATTTAACATGATTAATTTCTTCTGTCTTCCTGTGCACATGCTCGGCCTTGTGTAATCTCCTCTCCAGCTTCTCTTAAACATAAACCTCTAAATAATCAAAAACAACATGATAACAGCACCTATTGCTGTTTCCTAAGCAGGAACAGAGACCCATTTAGAGGCAGATAAGAAAACATGTGCCAAAGATATATTGTTAAATCACAGTTAACCTTCAAATTTTAACTTTGAAGCCTTTCAGACAGAAAATCTGTGCATGCGACCACATCGGCTCCAAGGCTAAAAATAACTGTTGAATGACGATATATAGATGGGATCTGATGTTGAAGCCAGATACTAAACTAGTAGTGATAAGATGATGGAAAACCACAGACTTTAAAACATACCGAATGTTTGATATGAGTGTAACAAACAAGTGGTTGTTATAGATCACAAAAGAATTTGAAACTGCTCAAAATTATGCAGAATTATTGTAGGCCATATAAAAATGAGAAGAAAAGAGGCTTGTGACCACATTTTGATGACTATTTTATGCCTTCAGAGATTAAATAAAAAGAAAGAAAGGAGGATCACATATGCTGACTCTGGCTTTTTGTCCATAAGTTATACAGCTGTGAAGAAAGACTGACTGGACAACGTAGCTACATCATTTCTCAAAAAAGGGGAGATTTTGCAGCGTTTGGCCATATTTAGCCAATTTGCCATACAGAAGAAATGACGTTTCCCATAATCACTGTGAATATAAATGGATGCTTTTGTTTTCATTTCATTTTGTTTTTTGTGCGTTCCTTATTGTGTTTTTTGTTGTTGTTGTTTTTTCCTTTTTGAATTTTGGGGACTCGCTAAACTCAGCATTCTGTCAGAATTCATCAAGCACAAATAAGCTGTTGTGATTCGGCGCAATATGAATAAAATTGAATTGAATTTACAAATAAGAAAGTTGGTTTTCAAGCAGCCCTTTCTTGAGATGAATTTCAAACCTCAGCAACCGTAAAATGGAGACGGAAAGTAGATGTGCTTGTAAATCCAGTGGAAGAACCTGCTCACTCCACCTAAACCATGAAGAAAACAGACACTTTTATCAAAGTTAGGT